ATCAGAACTAGACAAGTGATCAGGACCACAGCTTATTTATCATGATCAGGATAAAGTGAGCCAGAACCAGGACCCAGTGATCAGGACCAGAGACCAAAGTTCAGGAACAGCATTAAGTGTTGAGGACTGGAGAAGAGATCAGAACCAGACAAGTGATCAGGACTAGTTCTTAGTTATCATGACCAGGGTTCGGTGATCAGGACCAGGACCCAGTGGTTACAGCCAGGGTCCCGTGATCTTAACCAGGGCTTAGTTATCATGACCGGGACTCAGTGATCAGGACCAGGGCCTAGTGATCAACATCAGGGTTCAGTGATCAGGACCAGGGCCTAGTGATCAGCATTAGGGTTCAGTGATCAGGACTGGGCTCAGTGACCTTAACCAGGGCTTGGTTATCATGACTAGGGCTCAGTGATCAGGTCCAGGGTCCAGTGATGGACTGGGACCCAGTGATCAGTCTCATGGCCTAGTAATCAGGATGAGGCTTCAGTGATCAGGACCAGGGTTCAGTGATCAGGACCAAGGCCCAGTGATCAGGACTAGGGCTCAGTGATCAGGACTAGGGCTCAGTGATCAGGACCAGGGCCCAGTGACCTTGACCAGGGCTTAGTTATCATGACTAGGGCTCAGTGATCAGGAGCAGGACTCAGTGATCAGTATCATGGTCTAGTAATTACAACTAGGGTTTGTTCAGTGATCAGGACCAGGGTTAAGTGATCTTTGCCAGGGCTAAGGGTTCAGTGATCAGGATCAGGACCCAGTGATCAGCATTATGGCCTACTAATCAGGACTAGGGTTCAGTGCTCAGGACCAGGGCCCAGTGATCAGGACTAGGGTTTGGTGATCAGAAACAGGACTTAGTGACCAGGACCAGGGTTCAGTCATCAGTAGCAAGGCCCAGTGATCCATTCAACGGCATGGTTATAAAGATCAGAGGTCTGTGTATATTTCTGGGGAGTGGTCTTTGACATGCTCTCTTGGGGAAGCCTGGCCTTTGTCTTTGGGTCTTAGTCTCATGCAGGATCAGGTTATTTCTTGGTTACTGGACCGGGGGCACCCTCTGTCCACACCCTCCATTCTCCTCACTAACTTGAGGCCAACATCCTTCAGTCTAAAGCCACTTGTTTTTCCCTGACCTCCTTCTCATTAAGAGTTTGTGCACCATTGAGATACCACCTAATCCTAGTAAGAATGACCATCATTAATAAAACAAACAACAGATGTTGGTGAGGATGTGGAGAAAAAGAATGCTTCTACACTGCTGGTGGGAATGCAAACTAGTGTAACCTCTCTGGAAGACAGTGTGGCGATTTCGGAAAGCACTAGAAATTGACCTTCTATATGACCCATCAATTCCCCTATTGGGAATGTACCCGGAGGAGCTAAAATCATTTTACAAAAAAGACACCTGCACACATATGTTTGTTGCAGCTCTATTCACAATAGCAAAAATATGGAACCAACCATGCTATCGAAGCTGGACTGGATAAAAAATGTGGTACATATACACAATGGAATATTATGCAACCATAAAGGAGGATAAACATATGGACTGTACAGCAACTTGGATGGATTTAGAGTTGATCATACTCAGTGAACTATCACAGAAACAAAGA